TAATTATTAATTTTTAAGATTTTATTTTCAAAATTTATTAATTTGAAATTAATTTCATTCATTAAATTTATTAAAATACATAATATATTTTTTAATAGACATCTAAATCATTGATATTATATTAATTATAAAATTATTTTTCTTTATATTGATTTTCTTTTCAAATTTGCTTAAGATTAATTTTAATTTTAAATTGATTTTATTTAATTTTAATTTTAAAAAGATTTCATTCATTTTATCATCTAAGGTACTAATTGATTTTATTTTTAAAATTACCTAAAATTAGTTTTAATTTTAAATTGGTTTTATTCATTTCATTACATAAAATAGTTATTTATTTTATTTTTAAAATTAAATTGATTTGATTTTAAGTTAAAATTACTCTCTAATTTGAAATAATAATTTAATTTCAAATTACATTTAAATTAATTTAAAATTTTGTATTCATTAATTGTGATTTGATTTTAAATAGATTTTATAATTTAGTTATTATATTTTCTATTAATTAAATAAATAGAAATATAAAAATTAAAGAAAAATGAAAAAAAAAAGTGAATGTTAAAAAAAAAAGGTTCAATTGGTTAGGCCAACCGAGTTAATCAAGTTTGGATGGTTTTGATCGGATCTCAATGGATTTAACTGAGTTTGAATGGATTTTAACCGAATTTTAACTTGAAATGGATTATTATTATAACCCGACCGACCTTAGAACCAAATTGATTCAATCAATTAAATAGGTTGGACCGAATCAAGTTTCAAAATAATAATAATAATAATATATTTTTCCACTGGCAATGACACCTGATCTTAACAACACTTTTCCATAAATAATTAGTTAGATAAAAATTAGAAAACTCTTACTTTAAATTATATTTGTTTTACATGTTAAAATTTAGGTAGGAGAAAGTTTAAAATTAGTTTTTAAAATAATTTTTAAACAAGTTTTGAGAAAATTTAGATATGTAATTATGTAATTTTATCAAAATTTACTTAAAAATTATTTTAAAAGTTATTTTTAATTTTTTAAATTTATAAAAAAAAGTTGTTTTAAACAAATTACTGTTTAAGTTTTATCTAACACTCTTATAGATAATATTAGTTGTTCCCCTCTTACAAAATTATCATTAATTCCATTTTTAAAATTATATCCAACGGACAAAAACGCCTTTTCCGAATTCAATGACTAGTAATAACTTTAAAAAGATGAATATTTATTGATGGTAAAACTCCTCATGATCATAACTGAAGGACATTCAAACACAATAATAATTTTTTAAAAATAAACCTGACAAGATCCTATATATTTAATTAGAATGTCCATGCAATTAAAAATCATTGAATTGCGTAGCTACTGTTCTCTAGTGAGAGTTTCAATTTCAAACAAAATGAGAATGATTCACAGCGTTGCGATTGTTGTAGCTTTTATGCTTTTCTTTGCAGGGAATGCAACAGCCGATTACTATCGTTGTCTTGCTGACTGCCTCGTAGTCACTCATTTTCCACGATCTACTTCAACATATTTCAAAAATTGCCTTCGAGTATGTGCTCCTATGAGCCATATAAGACGGGGTTCTTCCGGAGTTGTATAAGTCTGCTTTTACACTGATCCAAACAGCTGCTCCACCAATTACTGCAAAAATAAGGGCTTTTAGTCCATTTCTACATAGATATATGTTAGACCTCCTTTTGGCTAAAATAAAATATCAGTATATTTGCTGTAATTCTATATAAGGTAATTGAATAAAATTGTTTTTTTAAACGTACATTGGCTGATTTTAGAGAAAAATATTAATAAAGATATAAATTTGTCTCTTTTTTATATATGGAAATGAATTTTTTAATTTTTAAATAAATTAATAAAATTTTAATTTTTTTATTTAAGGGTTAATTATATGGTTAAAAAATCATATTCCATGTTGACATCACCATATATTTAATCTTTAAATAAAAAAATATAA